AATTCCATGGGCGTATTCAGAGGAGGGCAGGGTGAGGGGCCGTTGCTACCCTAAATAATTTTAACGAAAAAAAAAGATAATATATTTCAGAAGGTTTACTTAAAATTAATTTTTAAAAATGGTAGTTCTATGCATATATTGTATTCAATGCCCCTCTCTTATATGAAAGCTGCGTACGCACTTGTAGAATTATGAAAAATAAATTACTATTGCAGTCATATAGTTTTGTTTGAATGTTTTCATTAGGCATTAAATTGTTTTGCAGAAAGAGAAATCGACGACTATAGTAAGAATTAACTTATTGAGTAATACAAAAGTTAAACTGTCAGAGTCAAAATAAATTCTGACATTTGAATCTCTTTTAATACCAACCTTATAAATTAGGTTACATATACAAATAAAATCAGAACATTAAATACCTAGAAGCAAGAGTGCCCATCCCTCCCAAGTTCGATGGCGCATAATTCCTTCCTCCCTCCACCCTCCTCTCCAAGAATTGTTCTTCTTAAAAACAGTGCAAACGAAAGCATAATTAGAAAAATCGTAGATCATAAACGATTATACTGCTGGCGTCTGTCCAATGTTTCCATTTAGTTCTATATTTTGAAACTTTTCAATCTGGAAATTTATATCTTCGTCAAATATCTTATATCTCAAAAACTTAGATGGCGCAACTTGCAGCATGAAACCCCTTTCTGGGCACTACTACCTAGAAGGCTTTGAATAATATCAAAGAAAAGTTTTGAAATACAGTCTTAAAATACAATAGATTATTAAACTTATTTTAAATTAAACGTGCTCGTATTGTTTCTCGGGGATACCAAATGTTTAAGGCCGGCACTTGAGAGGTTTTTTTTTAGCGATTAAAATGTAATAATTTTTTTAAATAACTAAAACAGCAATATCTATCATGTTTATGAGGTTGGAATGATTATAACTGTAAATTGTGTTAATGTTATCTATTATTTTCTCTCTACGTGGTATCACTTTTGAGTCCGCGACTGGAGCAAATTACTCCAATTGCTCAACGGTATTTACGCCACTGATCTCAATAGTATATCAAACACAACTGCGCCAACTTTTCAATAGTAATTATTCTTTAAACAAATGTAGGGCCAGGTTAATATATACATGTTAACTTTTCTTATTATGGACAACTTTAAACCTTGAAGCACTTGAAGGATGCTAACTCACCGAAGAGCAGTACCCAGAGACGAAGTAAAGGACTTGGGGACCGTAGACGTGGAAGCCTAGAAGCCAAGGAGGATCATGTTAAACAATTATCACTAATGGAGAAGACAGAGGCTGGATACGATATTTTTCAACTAAAGGTGAATGGCTCATGATGGTTTAATCACAGGCGTTTAGTGATGAGTCACGACTGCTACCGTACCTTCCGCTTCTCCTAGGTCCTTGTCAATACTCTATAGTCCTCTCCTGCCATCAGAGTGTCCCTGCTAGGCCTAAACCACTAGTGGATCCAGGATTTAATTTTTTTTTGGGAGGGGGCTTCAGCCCGAAATATTTTTTTTTTCCATATACATTTAACGATAATTAATTTGAAAAAAAAGAAAGAAATTAACTACCTATATGAAATGGTGTTTAAGTGGTTCTTGAAGTCCTATTAAATGTAATTAAACGAACAAGAATACTTTAAGACATAGTTTTTAATATTTTTTTCTGTAAAACATGATTATATTTTACCATTTTGGAGGGGCTTCAGCCTGAAAGCCTCCTCCCCCTGTGACCTAAACCAACATTCAGTCATGCTTTAACATTCCACACGAAATAATCAGACATATAAAATGAACTGGGAGTGATCAAATATAGAAATGATATGCGCTAATTAACCTAATTACTGTTTTCATTCCATGAAACGCAAGCCATCTCATGAAACTTGCATGGGTTCTTACAAAAATGAAATGTAATATAAATCATAAGAGACAGCAAAAGTTAATAACTCCCGGCTAAAATTGTTTCACAGTGACTGATTCAACATGAAAAGTTTTTGATCTTTCTCCTATGGAGTACCCCGACATAGGAGTTTAATTAAAAATGTTATGCACATCCCATGCAAAAAGTCTGTTACGTGGAGATACAAGTATTGATCTGGCAATTAGAATTAAATGGCATAAACTTCTTCAAAAAAATCGACGATTATTAGAGTAAACATTTAACCAAGCAGAATGAAATTAAAATTTAATAGTAAAATGAATATTTTATCAAATTTTTCAATACATGTTTAATATATTGAAAAAAAATATTTATTTTTTTGTATCTGTTTTATAAATAAAGCCTGAGATATTTTAGGTCCCTTCAATAAGGTTTTTTTTTATAAAATTGTATCTGTTCTGTTCATACAGTCAGAAATGAACAAACTATGTTAAGTTTATCGATTTCATTAAGATGTCAGTTGTCTGTAACATATGTCATTTTAAAATAAGTATAGATTTTGTTGTTCTAATGTTTCAAAAATTCATAACTTTCAACTGAACCAGTTTATCAAAAATATCTTTTCATTTTTAATGACAGTTGATAAAATGACTGTGAACATGATGGAAAGTAATCATTTTGAATTTTATATGGGTTTTTCCTCACCTTTTCGGCCATACAGGATTTTTTCCAGACCAGAGGAGAGGGCGGAGAATAAATACCAGAACTAAAAACATCTCCCTCTCTCCCACCACTCTGCAACAAGTGTATTTCCCTGAAGAACACTATTTCCAGTACAAAATAAGTTCCCATTCAATCCTGATGTTATAATTTCAGTTTTTAATAATTATTTATTTTCCAAAAGTAATACATGTTTTTTTATACCTTCTATTCTAAATCTAAAATCATCTTATTTCCGGTTGTCGCTTTTCCTTTTAGAAAAACATCAAACACAAAACTAAACCGGGATTATCCAAATGTTTAAATTGAAATCTTAGACTGACGACTGAATTATTAATGATTTCACTAATAACAGGAAACTTGTCGATTGATGAAGATTGTAAGTGCATACATCACCTTAATCCATTACAAAGCAGAAGTGTATCGTCACTTAACATCTTTACCAACTCACTTCTTAACGAACTATTGAATTTATGTGACAGGAAGGAGATTTATACCACTTAATAGCTTTTTCTTTAGTAGCAATTAAACCTTTCCAAAAACATCACTTATCGCCTTTATCCATTTGAGCCTTCATATATTTATGTATTATTAGAGAGGAGAGAATAAAAAATCTCCAAAATAAATTATTATAAACTTTATATTATAGTAATGAGATGATTTTCTAAACAATATAAAAACAGAAACCATAATAAATATAATTAATTAGCAGATTTAATCAAAAATGCATTTAACATAATTTTTTAATTGAAGATATTTTGGAATGTAAAGTACAGAAACAGAATATTCAGCAGTTAAATTACTTTTATGGTCTGCTATAACAGACCATTTTTGGAAAAGATAACAATTTTAGAATGTCAAATTCATAAAATAATACATACATTTAATAATAAATAAATAAAATAAAGACACTAAATACTAATGATCATGGTTACATTTCTACTTCTAGAGCTTTAAATATCTGTTTAAAATAAATGCCACATGATAAGTGATTTTTTAAATTATTTTTTTATTAAATATTTAACAAAATAAATCACTACTTTCATCTGGAAGCCCTACATTATTGTTTATACAGATTTTATTATCATTTTCATATCATTATATATAATCGATACGCCTTACATCTATAAAAGTTAAATTAATTTAAACAAAATACAAATAAAATGAAATTAAAATCAAAACATGCAAACTTATCACAGGGATTATCAATTAACGAGGATATATAAATAAATAAATGCCCATTTAAGGCCATTTTAAATTCATGGTCTACTATTATTTGTTTAAAGCCATTTTTAAAACGAAAACTATTATCACAATTCTCTACCCATTTCGTAACTAATAAATGGTCAACACACATGTTTTCCAATAAATCAACTTTATAACATTTTTAATAGAAGACCTTGAACTAAGTTTACAAAATATATAAATGCAAACTTAATATGCAAATACGATAAAATTACTATCAATTTCATGCTAAGAAGGAATGCAAGATATATGGCAAAAAGAGATAAATAAGGAATAACAATGGTAACTATTTCTTCATTTATGTATATACAAGTCACAAAACGACAGCAGATAATTTACAGATTCGCACACGTTATTCTATCTAAGTAGAACAAAGTAGTACTTAAGAATACACACAAACTGAATTCCTTCTCATAATAGATACGAATAACAATTACTTAAAACTAATATTATGCGATAGTCAACATAATTTATTTAAAGAGTTTATAACATTAGATTTCATTTCATAATCAGCAACTGTTAAGAGCTGTAATTATATCTTTTGATAACAGAATTCTAAAATTATTTTAATTTGGGATCATTTTATGTTAAATCATATATGAAAAATCAAATATTAAAAAAATTGTTAATTTCAAAATAGTCAATCATAATGATAATGGTTAAAAAGACAGCAGTGTTCCATCCAAAATAACCAACCTCAGAAATTGGTGATAAATAACTCTTAAAAAAATCATTATTTACTAAGTATGGTAATATGAAAAATTTACAACTTTAGTTAAATGTTGAAAATTTTAATATTTTAAAATAATACAAAGAATATTTCATGAATAATTGAAATAAATAACTGATTGCAGACAGAATGATATTAAATATTTTACAAGTTTAAAAGTAAATCATAATTTTAAGTGAATTACTTTAAAGTTTATCACCTAAAATAATCAACAACAAAAAATAATAATCATTAAAATTAAATTTTTTTCACTAAAAGATAAATTAGATAATATTATAAATAAGAAAAAAATATCTTTTTCAAACAAAAAATAAAATGTCATATTTTGCAAATGCAAAACTAAAATAAATTTGCAAAAACTAAAAAAAAAAAATATTTTTTCAAAATAATAAAATTTAATTTAAGATCACAGCAAGAAAAAAATAAATGTTATCAATTTTTTCATTGTTACAATTTCTTGCCTTATAGCAACAATTGAGAGTGAAAAACACTACTCAATATAGACTAATTAATTTGATAATTAAATCATAACTAACTCGTAAAATATAGCGCTGTAAACTATTTATCACCTGTTTCTTAAAATTGTCAAAGTATATTATAATACTGAATAATAATAACATTAACTTTTGAGACTTCTTAATTTACATTAAAGTCATTGCTTTAAGCCAATTGTCTTTTCGAGCGAGAGTAATTAAAAAACAATCCATATAACTGTTTTTAATAAATAACCGAAACAAAATTATTTTAAATAAAATTGAATTAATAAAAGAAATATTTTTCAAATAATTGCTCAGAATTAATAAAATAGATCTTATTTTGTACATTGAAATACTTAATACATTATTTTATACACCAAATATCACAGTTAAAGCATAAATAAATCTGAGACAGTAAAATTGCTTTAAAATAAAAGGGTATAAAAGTACCCTAAATAACCTCATCAATTATGAGGTGGATACAATATGTTATGAACACTTACGTACGTACCAAAACCAAAACCGACTAAACCAAATAATAAAATAGCCAAATCTTTTAGGTACGTCGAAGTCGTGAGGCCGTGATTCCAAAATGTCACTAATTCTAAAATTGGTGGGAAAATCAAAGCAAGTGTTGAACTGCTGACTGCACCAACCAAAGAGATAACAACACCTAAATCAGGAACAACCATTGCGATACAAACTGAAAAAAAAATTTAATTAAACAAAATAAATAGAATAGTTGGCAAAAATAATTTTAAAACATTACAAGAACAAGGATGCCATTGTTTTTATGACAACAAATACTTACAAGTAAACAAAACTAGTACAGTTCTCAAGCCAAGTTCAACTTTTTTATGACTCTCCGGAGGGACCTTCTTTTTTAGTGACGACCAAATTATACCTACAGGTACGTAGAACTGAAGACCATACGAAAGGAAGATGGAAATAGCCATCATTAGTCGAACGGACTGTCCCAATCTGAAAAATAATAAAAATATTATTCTCTATCATCTCTACTATTGACCTCAGTTAGAAAACAGATAATAAATAATCATAAATAAAAAAGATCCAAGTTTTATTATATATCAAAAATGATTAAACTAAGAAAATAATGTTCTGATTTCATTAGAGGGAAAATTCATCAAAGTATTTAATGATTTAATTTTATAAAATGTAACTTAATGACTTTTCGCAAGAAACTCACGTTATAAAAGGTGAAGCTTTAGGTATGCCTATCATCAATAAATATCCAGAAAGAGAAAGAAATAATCTCAAGATCCAAAAAGATATAGAGAAAGAACATTGACAATGTAGCATATTTCAGATATTTGTGTACACAGTTTTATATATATTTTAATAAAGGTAGATTAATCTTGTATCAGCAATTCAGATCACTTTCGGTATCAAGATGATGATGATGAATAGTAAAAAAATTGCAAAGATTTAAAAACTTGTTTTCAAATAATTAATAGACTCTATTTATTTTAGATAGCTGACATATTATATTATAGACTAATCTTTGATAGACAAATCTTTGACTTACATTTCATCTTGAGGAATATTTAAAGTGATAGATCCTTTCACATGTTCACCATAACGTAGGTAACCAAAGAATCCAACGCCCGTGTACAAGCAAGCTACAATCACCATTACTGTATTTAAAACACCAGTCAAGCCACCAAAGTCTTCCGGGTTCTTCATATTATTTTCAAGAGGGAGCACCTAAAATAAACAGATATATATATACATACAAATATTTAAAAAAAAAAAAAAATCACACTATCACAAATATTGAAATTCATAATAAAGATAACATTAAATGAAGACATGTCAGCATTATAAATCATAATATAAAAAACATAGAACAAATTTCACACTAAATCTCCATGTCTTTTTTTAATGACATGCAATTGTACGTCAAAATAATTGTATATTTTTTAAAACTAATAAAAGTACAAAATTAACTAATAATATGGTTTGAATAGACAAAATTAGGATCAGAATTTAGAAAATTAGACAGCCCTCTATTGCAGACAGACTTTGTGACTCACCCTCCAATGTGCTCGGCCATCCTCTCAATGTACCAGGATAGTAATCTTATATAGTAAAATAATATACCACAAAAACAATATAGAATCAGTATTATCACTCATCGGTAATGTTCTCATTACTTTACTCAAGTCGGACTATAGTTTTGCTATCATAACTTTTTTTTTGAAAAATCCAAGGATTAAGATTAACATACATTTGCATAATTCAAGAATGTATCTCGTTCAAAACTTGAAAATCTCTTATGAACAAAAGAAAGAATTCTCATGTCAATGGCTTTGTTATATAGTAAATAATAGTTTATTATTATTACTTTATAATTATTTTTAATTAATCTGGTTCAAATTGATATGTAATATTAATTTTTGTAGATAAAATTAAAAATTCCCTTTATGTGTGCAAAATCATCAATAACGGTTTATATTATTTTTTATGAAGAGAAAACTTTTTATATCAAATTGAACTTTATATTTGAACTAACTAAGCATTTGGTATTTATTTTTTGTAAGGTTCTGAAGTTGTTAATTCTAAAATTACTATTGGGCCTCCCAAAGGCAACTAGTTCACATATTTTTACACAAAGAGTATAAGGAAATTTAATTGAGTAACCATTATGGTTTGATATAACCTTAATTGATTTCAAAACTTATTCTTCTTGAAAGAAGTTGGTCGACTGTTCTACGTATCATGGGTGATAAATATTCAGGACGCAGTCTTTTTTAAATTTTTTTTATTTTTGCCAACGTTTCAACCCAAACATGTGGGTCATCTTCAGGGCGTGGTTTGAGCACTGAGGTTGTTCCAAGTACTGCCTGAGTACTTGAAGTACTGCCTGGGTGCTCGATGGGTACTTGAACAACCTCAGTGCTCAAACCACGCCCTGAAGATGACCCACATGTTTGGATTGAAACGTTGGCAAAAATAAAAAAAATTTAAAAAAGACTGCGTCCTGAATATTTATCACCCAAAACTTATTCTTGGGATCAAGAAAGAAAAGAATGAGAAGGAGAGAAATATGGCAGTGAGAAGCAGTCTTAAGATCTGTTGTACTTTAGTAATAAATATGTTTGACAGACCTTCAACAGACCAGTTGGACTGACTGATTTGATGACTGGCCCATGAGATATAATGAAACACCAAGTTACGCCAGATCTAGGTCATTTTGGGACTAGAAAGGGTTATGTTTTGGAATAGTAAAATTTAAAAAGAAAGTAAAAAGAGAAACTGTTAATACTCACGATGCCTATTCCCTCAAATGCATAAATGGCTGTTCCAAAGAAAAGGGGAAGACGATGCCATGGAGCAAACATCTTCACAGTATTAGTCCTCGGCAATCCTTGTAGAATATAAAAGAAAGTGATTGCGAGTCCAGTAGCAGTAAGGATAGCTGCAAAAAGGGATACAGGTGTAAGGTATTTAAGGTTAGTAACCCAGTTTAGGACAATCATAGGGAGTAAGAGAACAAGGAGGAATACATAAGAAGGAACATCAGACGTGTACTGCTCAGTAACCTGAAAGTAGAGTAAATTTTAACATTATATTTACATCTTAATGACATTTGTTTTGTAGTCAATAAAACAGTTTTGGTATTGTTAGTATGAAAGGTTAAAATAATTACAAGTTATACACATTTCAGTAATTATTGAAACACTATAAAATCTTATAATAAAAACAAAGCTTGTTTTCAAGTGTTTTTAGCATTTCTTTTCCCAAAATATTTTTGCATTATTCATTACTAATTTTTGAAGTTAAAAAACCTTTTGTGGTCACTAAGAGTTTATTGTGCGGCTCAAAATAAAGGCTATATTGAAGTATTAATTAATATTTAATTGTGTAGATTATGACACCAGAAGTGGCACTTTATATCATCAATGTAACACATTTTTACGATTTTCTCGAAAACGGATTTAAATATTTTAGTTAAACTCGGTGTATCAATGTATAATTAAGTATTCTTTAATATCATTTAGGTCTTATCCATACTGATGTTACATAACAGGGCTTAAATGCCGAATGCTCAAAGTGTCTTCCTCTGAAGTACCTTTAATTTGATTTATTTTATGTAATTAACTATCTCTCCATGTTAGGAGTTACGAAAAAAGGCAAAATATAAGTTTTCGAAGAATTTCAATTTTGAATAAAGGAAAAAAAAGAAAAATGCTTATCCAGGTCGAAAATGAATCTACGGAAACAATAGTCAGAAAGTATACATATAATATATCATTGGAAAAAGAAGAATTTTAGGAAAAAACAATATCTAATATAGAGAGTCATAGATGGTAATGGAGAGTTGTAAAAACTAATATTATTTAACGGAAATCACATGTTTTCAAGGAATTTTTTTTTTCTCTTTAACTATTTATCCACACATGTCATGGTATTGACAACCAACAGATGTGTTGTGATGATAAAGGTTGGCATTATTGGCATGAGGAAGGATAGTACCCAGGAGCACCTCTTCATGGTCTTTATTTACTTCCTTGATTTAGATGAGATCTCTCATCCAGCTCCTTTTTAGTCTCCTCCAGATGGGCTTGTCAGTAGTGGCCATGTCGTTTATAAGTCTGTGTGTCTGTGTAGTTTGAGATGAAAACGAGAGTAGAGAGTAGGTTTGTATTGGTCTATAGTTAGTTGTAGTAAGCCGTTATGAAAAGTTTTGTTGTAGACGTACCAGAGAGCTCCTACCGTAAATCTGAGAGGCATATATCCAGATGGGTTTGAGTAGGTAAGTGTATGTATTAAGTTTTTGTCGAACATTCAATTTCGATTTAGAAAAATTAAGTACAGTATTTTCAATAACCGTTAACAGTTTGTCGTTTCATTTTGACATGTGGGCCCAGCGCATCTTTCTGCCGAATATCAGTCCAAGGTAACATACTGTGTTTGTCTGAGGAATTTGGTTCTCTACTATATAAACTGGTAGGCACATTCCTCGTCGAAGTGTAAATCTTATATGTTGTGATTTGTCATGATTTAATCTTATTTTCCAAAATGAGTACCAATTTTTTAAAGTCAGTAAATGATTTTATAAATTCATTGAGGCTAGGTGGGGTTATACTTTAGTTGAAATTGTTGTATCATAAGCGTAGGTGGCGGTCAATGTTTTGAAGTTGATAGGTATGTCATGCTTACATATGGTGTAGAGTAAAGGAGCCAGTATTGATCCTTGAGGTATTCCTGCTAACACTGGTCGAATTGAGGAAATTTCTATGCCCTGTGGGACAGAGAAAAATCTGTCGAAAACGAAAGGATGGAGAACGAGGTAATATGTATGAGGTAGTAGTGTTTTGAGTTTAAAGTGAAGTCCCTGGTGCCAGACTTTATTGAATGCCAGGGCAACATTCAGAAACATGCCAGTTGCGCATTGTTTTTGCTCTAGTGCTCCAGCAATGTAGTCAGTAACTCTGTGTAATTGTTGTGTTGTTGAATGGAATGTACGAAAACCTAACTGATGGTCAGAAATTATATTTTGCCCTGTCAGTATGTCAACCAATCTTTTGTATATTAATTTTTCGTTTAGTTAAAAGTTTAGAACATATTGGGAGAAGACTTATCGAACCGTAGGATGAAGGATAGAAAATGTCTGTTCTTTTTGTGTATCATTATGATGTGTGAATATTTCCATTGCAGTGGGAACTTAGTTGTCCTCAGGATACAGTTGTAAGAAACTTTAGTGCTTTCCTGGACATTTGCTGGAGCGCCTCGGCAGTTATTAAGTCATAACCTGTGGCTTTTCATTTGGGTAGATGTTTGATTTGCTGTGCAACTTGTGAAGGAGTGAACGAAAGAGGTAATAGTGTCAATGGTAGTGGTATATCTAAAGTGTTTAGTACAATGGTTTCATGTTCTGTTTTCATAAAGTCAGTAGATAGATACAGATGATAGATGGTCAGCAAATAGTTCAGATTTTTCCCTATTCGACAAAGCCCATGAATTGTCGCATTGAATTTTTGTATTAGTCGTTTAAGTTCGTTATTCAGTCTGTTAAATGTTTGTTTATCTGAAGGAAGTCTGTTAGTCTGCCTACCTTATGAGCTATTCTCTTTGTTGTGATCAAGTCCCTTATATACTGAGGGTATCTAGGCAAATGTTTTGGCCATGATGGCACTGGAAGAGATGAAAGGCAAGCAGCTTTTTGAACATTTTTAGTAAATTTCTCCACTGCCTCGTCTAGTTCTTCTTCAGTTTTAATTGATGAAGGGATTGACAGTTCTGAATCCAGAAATGCCCTATAAGCATCACAATACATTTTACCGTTGATGAGCTCATCTAGTATAACCAAGTGTATAAGGGAATGATCAGAGCATAGATCACAGCTTGTACTTATGGTGTGAGGTATGGTGCGTAGTCCTTTGGTTATAAAAAAGTCAAGTAGATCTGGAATTTTCTGTCGCAAAGCTGGCCAATATATCGGTGCATCAAGTGATATAGTGAGTGTCTAATGAAAGTTCATTGATAGCAGCCCTCAGATTTCTTCCTCTTGGAGTACATAGCCATGACCCCCAAATTTAGTACTTTGCGTTAAAGTCACTACCCGCTATGAAGCAATGCTCAATTCTTTGAAAATAATCGCAAAACATTGAATTGATATCAATACGTATCTCGGAGGACAATATACTGAAGCAATAGTTATTGTGTGATGTTTAGTATGTAGTGTTAAGAATGTGGTTTGAATGTCAGGTGTTGTGGGTAAGTACAAGGGATTATTTTAGGGCGCCGTTTGGCCTATATAATCTCATTATTTTGACAATTTGGGGGTGTAAGTCATGCCAAATGGCTCGATATTTTTGAAGGCCACCTTTTTTATCGACTTTGTGCTCAAGTTATCTTACGATTAAAGTTGAAAGCAAATGGATATTTAAGAGTTTTTAGTACATAATTGATTAGACAAAGTTTGATGATCTCTTAATTGAAAATGCCCCGATTCCGAGAAGTTTTGCAAATAAATATTTGTACGTTACGATGAGATTAAGCTATTTACGAAGTTTCAGCCGGATGTTAATAATTCGATAAAAAGGGATCTGTACCATGGACTATTATTATTGAAATCATAAAGAAATAATTAATTTTTATACTCTTCTATAAAACACTCAATTTTTATATACAACTTTTAGCACTAACAGTAATGATTTACGTCTCCAGTATGTACTGGGATTTTTTTAAATCAAGATTCATCGAATACGTGATTTGCAAATGTAGAATTCTACCGCATTTTAGTATTTGTAGATTAACAAAATTGGTGGATATCAAACCTGTAAATGTTAAGGAATTACTGTATTTCCGAAAATGGCTTCTCCCATGAAAAATTATAGACTTTGAAATATATATATTGTTCAGCCGATGAAAACAGTGGGGATACTTTACTTGCCTTTTTCAGACATTGGCAGACTTTTTTCATAACTAAAAAGTTAAAAACAATTGAGAAAGGTGATGGATAATCTATGGCATAAATCGGAAACCTGCAGCTCTAGCGGCTCCCTGATCTAACTGCAGCCACCAAATATTTTTGCACGATTTCTAGTGCTAGAATTAATTAATATTTAAGTTACAAAAATTAATAGGCCTAAATTGAATATATGTACATGAATATATGTGTTTTTAGTGACAAATTGAAGTATCAACAAAATATAAACAATTTTTGAGGCCTCCATTAGCAATGCCTAACATTACTGTGGCCTCTAATGCTAAAAAGGTCCCCCATCGTATGATCAATGGCAAACCAATTATGAAGTTAACTGAAAGATGTTATTTATTTATTTTAACTTTTGAGTATTCACTTACTTGTTGCAAGTTCTTCGCTACAAACACAAAATATACACAGCAGAAACCGAGTTGTGTAATGACTAGAAACACATTTACCGCAATCCTAAAACACAACATTTTCAAATTAGTTCATAAATTAACATGACCACACTCTAAATTTTTATTTCTTTATTTTATTTCATTTTTAAATGATTCATTATTGTTCAAAAAATTTCCAGCTTATAGAAAAAGTTTCATTTTTATTTTATTACTGAAATTTTTTTCTAATTTTGCACTTTGTTATTTAAAAGGTTCTGCAAGTTTGTCAACAGATAATTTTTCTGAAAAATTTCAGATATTCAATTTTTTTAAATTGCTTGAAATAACATTTAAAATAAAGATATGAATAAGAGCATAACCTGATTTTTTTTGCATGTTTCTGAAGACAAGCTGGTCCACTCTGAAAAGAAAGTTCAGCTACTTGAGAGAATCCCAAAGATGGAGTTTTGTTTCTTCTGCATAGTTCATGGGCGCAGCGTACCTTGGGAAGGAGAAAAACATATGATTTCACAAAATTCTTTTTCCATAGAGGATTAAAATTTATTCAAATAAAATATAAACTTACCAACATATGCATACAGTGAGTACAAATAACTCCTATAAGTAAAACACCAAACGTACCAAGAGCAAGCCCTGCATTGAGAAAAGCATCAGGCATGGCCAGTATACCAGTTCCTATATTCCCTTTTATTAGGTGGATCATTGTGTCAAGGTTCCTATATGAAAAAAAAAAAAAATGAAACATTTAATTAGAGTATATCCAAATTGAGTAGAAAGTCAAATAAATTCTATCCAAGATCTTTAGCATTTCAATAAGCATCCATCTTTTCATCATGTATTTTATTATTTATAATTACTGGACAACATCATCCCATAAATTTTTAACTGATAAAGTGTGCAGTGAATACGGAAATATACCTTTTAATGTATCAAGACTTGCATTTTATTGACTTTAAAGATGATTCATCTTTAATAATTTAAAATGACAAGTAAAGAATGTTCTGAAGAAGGGTACTGTTGCCTCGAAACGTCAACCATCAATTATAAATAATAAAATGCATCATTTTAAAATGAATACTAACGGAAATGCTTAATTCCTCAGGAACATTTAATATCAGGCAACAGATTTTACCAATGAAAACTTATTTTGTAAGACCACACAGGTGCACAATAGAAAAATTTCTGGAATTAAATAAGATTCTACAGCTGATTAGACACGAATATCTGATTTAACAATGTTGGAGATAATTCAACTTTAATACACATACTCTTAAAATTTTTATTTTTTCAATTAAGATGTGATATTGACAGGGTAGCCAATATGTAAAGAATTCTATATTTTTTTTTTAATTAAAAGGTTTTAAAATTGAAAAATTTATATTTAAAATGAAAATTATATTTAATTAACTAACTAACTCCATGGCAATACAGTCCGGTGTGGTCCTTGGCCGCTTCAATGAGCTCTCGCCAGATGGCTCTATCTTGCGCAGTCGCTCGCCAGTTGTGGGTATGCAATACTTATCTGGCGTCCCAGATGATGACGTCCTCCCATCTTAGACGTGGTCGGCCCTTCCCTCTTGTCCTGTAGAGCTTCCCATCAAGCAACTTCCTTGGGACTTCCTCTTCTGGCATTCTGGCCACATAGCCAGCCCAACGTAGTCGCCAAGGCTTGATGCGCCTCAACATATCTGTCTACCCATACACATCATATAGGTCCCTGTTAGTCCTCCTATTCCAATCATCACCGACTTTAACAGGTCCAAAGATAGGCCGAAGGATCTTCCTTTCAAACATCAGTAAATCTTTTTCTTCTTTACTGGAGAGGGTCCAGCTTTCCGATCCATATGTGATAACAGGACTAATGAGGGTCTTATATATGAGGCATTTTGTATGACGGGAGATGGCAGAGCTTCTAAGGTGTTGCCAAAATAGCACCTGTTTGCCCTTATTTATCGCTGGTTGACCTCCAGCGTGTCAATATTGTGGAACGCAAATGGGCTCATAACCACCGGTACTGGCACTACAGTCTCGATTTCAGATCCTGCTCACATATACATCGTCTTTTTCTGATTTACAGTCATTCCCAAAGCTTCTGCCGCTTCAGCCAACCTTAAAAATGCACTTTTAAGAGACTCAAAGGAATGTGCCATCAGATCTAGATCATCAGCAAATCCCAGTATTAGCCTTAATCTGTTAAAGATGGTGTGGACCTTTTGTATAGGTCAACATCTACTTCAATACATTCAGTGAGTATACGCCAGTTAAATACTAACAAATTTCAAGTTTAACAACAAAATTAACGTCTTACTTCTAAATTAAATATATAAAACTTATACTCACGTAGTGGGATGTTCAAGCTGCCTATTAAGAAGAGGATCATAGTCACCTTCAGGCGGCAAATTTATGAGTGATTCTTCTCTCTCATTTTCAACTGGTAGTTTACTGAAATCAAAAAGCATGTTAAAATTAATATAATTTGTCCATAAAATTGATCAAAAGATATAATCAAATTTAATAGAACATTGGTACAAATACTTTTTAAATCCTCTTTTACTGTATCATATTACTCATCTAATAAATATCATCCATTTCAAATAAATTTATAAATTAAAATTAAAAAATAAATGAAATTTCCTAAAAAGTAAAATAAATAATATTATATTTTGGACAAATAATACAAAATGGTATAAAAAAATGAGCATACAAAAACAGGCAAAGGGTTCATTCTCAAATATTAAAAAAAATTAAGAAGCATTTTAATAATTATTTTTAATCGACAAGTTCTCTACTTTTGTTTAAATACTGCAATAAACAAAAGACATTTCCATAAATAAGGTCAATTGATGAAGTCTATTCATAATACAATGTAATAGAGATATTAAGAGAAGTAAAGAGATTGATAAGATTTAACATTTGTTGTTAATTTTAAGTGATACAGTTAAAAGAAATAATTAAATTCTCTCAATTTTTTAATCAATAAATAAAAATAATAAATAAGATTAACAACAACTAAAAATGTCAGGTTAATAATAATTTGAATTTAATTATAAATTTATCATTGAAATATAAAGTTATATATTTTGAAGAAATAGTGATAAATCAATTTTAAAAGTACCCGTATATTTTTTCATTATTAGTAAGTGTATATGAACGACCAACTGAAATTGGAGCACAATGGACCCATTAGGAGTCGACGTGCTTATGGCCAACATATATAAAAAAAAAAAAAGTGTATATGAACCATGAAATAAACGCGTGTATACATAGTTGATCTGATAATATTTTGATCATTTATCTTTTATATTTTAAAAACAAATTAAATAAGTGGCAAAAATATATAAATAAATATAAAATTAAGGAATAAAAATATCTTTTTTATGATTGTAAATAAAAAAATAAAAAATCTAGTTGTAATTTTTTTTAATTAATAAAAAAAGAAAAGATTGTCGTTACATTGCCAGCCATTTCACTACATAAACCTTATTTTTATTTTATTTTGTTATGAATCAATTTGTAAACAAAAAATTAGTAAATATTATAATAAATTTCATATAATAAATAAATTACCTTTCATAATTGTCATTGGAAATGTCATTGCTGCTGACCAGCAGGGGTTGCCTTTCTTCATTCATTTTCTGGCCTTTGCCTTTGATCGCACCTAACTAGAATCGGAATAAATAATTGTTCATTTAATAAATTACATTTTTAAATAATTTTCTTATGAGAAACTTTGAAAAGTAAAAAAGGAAAATAGCTAATCAATCTCCATCCATACTTGCTGTAAAATGCGGCTAAACAGACAGGAGCAAATCAATGACACTCTCCGGGTTCTTTCATTCAGGACTGAGAAGGACAGAGAGAGGAGAATTATTAAGGAAGGATAACAAAGTCAACAAAGGGGAAGGAATTTTCCGAAAACAGAAATGGTAACATTGATCAAATAAGAGGAGATAGCAAGCTGGACCTCAATCAGGTTCTTTGTTTACAAAACCAATACGCAGTTCACAAGGAAAGATTCTATTAGCAGATGGGCCAAACATTGATTAATACATGACAACATATGCATGCATAAATTATAAATAAAAAAATTAAACATTCGAAAAAACCACTACTAATCAACAGTAGAAAATAAATTATTGTCTCATAATTATAATTATGAGATATCACAATTTTTTTTTAATTAAGAGGTAAAAAATCTCTTTCTAACGAAAAATATTGGCTTTTTAGTTGGACTCAAAGAAAGCCTCAGTTTCCGGCTGATTTTGTTTCTTGTTATTAATTTGATAACAAAAATAAATATTTCATTGCTACAGTGATTGCACAAATAAAGGATGTTATTCTAGATTTAAATTTATTTCATTATTACATTAGTGTTAAAAAAATTAATTATTGTTAAAGAGCAGCACTTTCAAAAGAAAAAAAATAGTGATTAAAATTTCTGATAATTATACATGGAATAGAAAAATTTATCAACCGAAAAAATTATTTCAATAATATAATTACTAATTTAATCATTATTACAATATATTTGGTAATTAAATATTCAAAAATACATACTATTTTCCCTGAAAAAACCATTTCTTGTGACCAACCCGACCATCTACACTCAACTGAATGTATGAAATGAGCTACATCCAATTTATCAAAGAAAGAATTTTATTACCTAACAAACAAATGATAACCCACTAACTGATATTTAATAGCGATTGAGAACAGAAAAACTGATACCGGCTAACACGTATTGGCCCACATTTCTTTCTAAGAATTATTATCAAGCACAAAACAACGCTAGTTTAGAAATATGTAAAAAATTCAAGCAAGGAAGCATTCAAATTAAGCATCATGCAAGGCTTCAAATTGAAGACTTACTTTAACATTAGATAATGGTGTGTCAACCATCCTTGTGGTAAACCTTTGGAAATCATGCCCATTAGAAATATAAATAAAAATGTAAAATTTCATTCAAAGATAAATAATTTTCAATGATAAAAAATGGTAAAATTACTTACATTTTATCATACAATAGAAATATATCTGTATTCTTTTAAAGTTTTGAATCTTTAAACCAGAGTTAAAAGAAAATTATTGAATAAGTAATGAAACATCCGAATGAAAGATGTATAATGAATATCATAGGTGCACAACTTGTTTACTTTAAAATAAAGCAAATATCTGCTTTTAGACAACATATATATATATACCCAGTTCTGGTATCTTAAAAGTTTGCAGGGCAAAGACTTGAAAAATAATTAATATAGAACTTGGTAATTTGAAAAAATCTAAATTTAATTTAATTAAGGCAAAAATTATGAAGTAAAACAATAATTATCTTTCCACCTAAAGGTAACTATTTAACACAACATAGCATACCATAACTGGATTTCAAAATTCAGATAAGGAAATTAATATCTCTTAATTTTAAGTGGTTTATAAAAATACCTCTGTAAGGCACATTTTTTTTTAAACACAATTGCAATTTAATTTATATTATTATATTTATTAATAAAAAAGTATTATAAATAAAAATAACTATTATATTTATATTTATTTTATAACTTATATTTATACTTTTTTAAAAATATTTATTATTAACATATTAATTTATGAAGTTGATTCATTTTCATCATTTTATTTAACTATTAAAAGCTCAATTAGTTCTTGATTTTTCATATTTTGAATGTTTGCACTCATAAACTTACAAATAGAAAGTAAAAAAAAAAAAAAAAAAAAATATATATATATATATATATATATATATATATATAGTTTTCACAATTCCAATAGAAAGAAAGATAATAATCCTGGTTTGTAGTTAATTTTTATTTATAAATAATAGTAAAGATATCTTGATCAAAAATCATAAAATAAGGGCTCTTTTATAGAATAGCTACACCAATTACTTTTCAGTAACTGCAGTGACCATCATTAATTACTAATAGAAAATTCAATGATCATATGTTAATACATAAATATAACCTTAAAAATTTAAAAGTGCCTAATCAGTTTTAATATCGAAAGGTATTTTACTTATATGTATGCTGTAGTGAAAGAAGTATAATGAAATTTTGCTATACAATTGACAATCAAAGGGATGTAAAAATAAATTTTAGCGCGTCTTAGGAATATTTTCAGGAACATAGTTGAACAATAATTGAAATTTTAGCCTTTAGAATAACAGCTCAATAATATTGTTTTTCAAAAAGGTTCCTATTTTCCATATAGATTTTTTATCATATTTAGTGAATAGTAATTAAGACTGGCATACTTATTCTATACAATATCCAAAATATACATATAGAATAATAAAGATGATAATCTGTAATAACTTTCTTCAGTTTTAAACTTAGATAATAAATTAGGAATTTTTTACTTTAGGTTAGAAGGCAAATTCTTTTGTAATTGAATTGAAAATTGAATGAGGATAGCATATGAGATAAGATAGAGGAATGACAAGCTGTCTCATGGGAACCCGCTTACTGCTGATAGTGAATCCTTTGTCCCAGTAACTTCAATGATTAGTCATAGTTAAGTAACCCCCTTAAGGAATATAATTTCATAGTTGAAAATAATAAGTTGACACTCTAAAATTAAATTAATATAGATTGTTGATTAATGAAACCATCCTAAGTCTCTTGATTACCTAAGTCACTGGTATTATCAACAATTTATTATACAACAGCAAACATTATTAGAACTGCAGATTGTTCATCTCAAAAATTTTCAATATAATTTACTTTTTACTAAGCTAAATGACCTTAGTAAGTGTTTTTCTTAATTACTGAGTTCTACTTTATTTGTAGATCCACCACATTACATTACTTTTTAATGATACTCCCCAGAGGATAATTATTATTCACATTCATAACCAAAAAATATAAATGTATGAATAATAAGAATACAAAAAAAAAATAACAAGGTACAATTATATAATGTTTTGATAAATAATTTTAATAAATTTCACAATACCTGTATTTCAAATCAACTTTAAAAGTACTTGATCACATCCCATACAAACTTTGGAGCACAGTAACCTGGAATGTTGGGTAACAATAATATTTACAACTGAATGTCAGCTGTGAAACCTACGTCATCACATACCACGGCCTTTAAAATATTACTGAAATGTAACCGAGTATTTGCCAATAAATTTACCTCAATTAAATTTCAAAATAAAGTTAAATTTATTATCAATATTATTTATTACATAGAAAACTGAGAATATTGTATTTATTTATAAGTTTACAATAGATCGAGAAAGTGCCATCTGCTGTTATAATATGAAAGTAAACTGACATGATTTTATTTTCCTCTAGGTGGATTTAAAAAAAAAGAAAGTGTTTTTACCAATTCCAGGTGGAGCTACGGGAGGGAGACTTTCACTTGAGTCCCACCCCCAAAATCAAATTTTTTTTTTAAAAACGCCCCAAAATGTGACAAAATTGTTACTTCGAGTGATCTAAAGGTGCGTTTAGGCATTTCACAAACTACGGGAACACAATTATGTAATTTAACTAACAGCACTGATAAACAAAACTATTTATTTTATTTCTATTGATACCACAGGCGGATCTACGGGGTGGGGGGAGGGGCTTTCGGGCTGAAGCCTTCCCCCCCAAATGGTAAAATATAACTATGTTTTACAGAAAAAAATATTAAAAACTATCTCTTAAAGTATTCTTGTTCGTGTAATCCGTACATATATTATTACAGTAAGGCTCGAAATCGGTTCTGTACCAAATATAAGCTCCTGTCATGCTCAAATACCATGAAGAATTTCAGGGGGGGTTAGCGAATCGTATTCTCCACTTTTGTTTTTCTTTCTAAAATAAATAAAGTTTTACAAACATTTTGCTAGGGTTCAATACCTGAACAGTGGTAGGTCTGTAGATCGATACGGGACAAATTGGATCTAGAAGATTTTGATGCGTACAGCAAGACCCGGATAGTTCTTCCGGAACTATCGGATCCTGCGTTTTTAAGCCCCAAAACGTACTATTTTCGAGATAACGCAAGGCATAGGGTTCGTATCCACACAACCTTACATTAATTGTGGTACTGTCATTGAATACATGTCTCATTTCGTCGACTTGAGGTCTCTATGATCGAGAGAGGAGGAGTTTATATTATTTACCGATGGTGTTTTTGATCGGCAAGCCATATCATCGTCAATTTTTCACCAAATCTCAAGATTGAGCCACCAATTTCGAAGGCTTCCTTCTCCTTCATTCATTCATTCATTCATTCATGTGTGGCACGACATCCCGTTACCGAGACTGGGCCTCCTCCAAGAGCCTCCGCCAGTTGGCTCTTTCTTCTGCTGCAGCTCTCCAGTTCCGTACACCAAGCAGGGTTCTCGCATCATAGGCCACGTTGTCCAACCACCTCGTCCTCGGCCTTCCTACCCATCTTGCGAGGTGCAGCTCCTCCATCATTATTTTCTTGGGTATCTCAACGGTGCTCATTCTGGCCACATGCCCTGCCCACCTTAGTCTGGCCAGTTTAATATAGGTGACTACGTCGATGTCTGCATAGAGAGAACTGAGCTCCCTATTTTTTCTTTTCCTCCATACATCACCCTCCTTTACTGGACCATAAATCCTTCTGAGGACTCCTCGCTCAAACACACTCAGCTTCATCTCATCGTTTTTGGTCATCGTCCAAGTCTCTGAGCCATATGACAAAACAGGCCGAACAAGAGGCTTGTATATGATCAGCTTGGTCTTCTTTGAGAGGTACCTACTTCTTAAGTGTCGGCCAAGTCCATAGACACATCTATTGGCAGCCGTGATCCTTCTTTGTATTTCTTGAGCCATGTCATTTTTGCTATTAATTTCAGACCCAAGGTATATAAAACTTTTCACTCTCTCAAACTTAAAAGAACCTACCTCAAATGGAGAGTTCAGATCCACCTCACCACCAACTCTCATATACTTAGTTTTCCTCTCGTTGACTTCTAGACCAAGTTGTCTTGCAGCTGCTTCAAGGCCTATAAACGCTTCTCTGAGAGCCTATTCAGACCTACCTATTATGTCAATATCATCAGCAAAACCAAGAAGCTGTGTCAGGCGATTGAAGATTATATCGTTGGTCTCTTACAGCTTTCTCCTCTGCCAAGTTGAACAATAGACAGGCGAGGGCATCCCCTTGCCTAATCCCACTGCTCACTTTAAACTCTTCGGAGTCGTCAGAACCGACGCGTATTCTACATCTCGAGCTGTCCATGGTCATCTTGATTAGGCGTACGAGCTTCTGAGGGATGCTTAGCTCCTCCAAGGCACAGTATAGTTGCGTTCTATCAACGCTGTCGTATGCTGCTTTAAAGTCTAGGAATAAATGGTGGGTGACTACCTTATGCTCCATAGTCTTTTCTAGGATCATCCTCAGAGAGAACAGTTGATCAGTGGTTGAGCGTTCTCTTCGAAATCCAGCCTGATATTTTCCCAGTTCCTTTTCAAAATACGGGAGAATCCTCTCAAAAAGAATGTTAGAGAGCAGTTTATAAGCACACGAAAGGAGTGAGATTCCTCGATAGTTAGCGCATTCTGTTTGATCTCCTTTCTTATGTATTGGGCAGATAATGGCTGTTGCCCATTCCGTAGGCATAGCTTCCCTCTCCCAGATGGTCAGCATTAAATCATGCAGAGCTTTCTTAAGTTCTTCACCTCCACATTTCAACAGCTCTGACTGGATTCCGTCCGGGCCTGGCGCCTTTCCATTTTTCAATTTCATCAGGGCATTTTCCATTTCCTCCTCATCCGGGGGTTCAATAGAATTCAGGGAGTCTTCCTTCATTACTCCTACTTCTCCAGGCACCGTTCCTCTGTTTAATGCGTCTTTAAAATGTTGTACCCATCTCCTTAGTACGTCATCTTTGTGGCTTAAAAGAGATCCATTCGTGTCTTTGCATGCCGTCACTCTGGGCCTGAAAGCTGCCCTACCCTCGTTTATTCTCTGAAAAAACAGCCGACTTTCATTTTGGCCGCGCAATGCCTCTATATCCTCCATGTTCTTGTTTTCCCAAGCTCTTCTCTTTCCGCGGAATAATCTCTTCTCTTCGCGTCTTTTTCTTCGATATGTTTCTTGGGAGAGCCTTGTGGGACGCTGAACCTTCTTTCTGTAGGCTTCATTTTTCACTTTTACTGCTTGAAGGCACTCAGCATCAAACCATGGAGGCCTTCTAGATTTAGTCTCGTAGCCAAGAGATT